ATCACTGATAAACTTTTCAAGATAAGAGGACATTTTGTTTTTCATTAAGAAAGGAAAGTAGGCTTTCGTTTAGCCCTTCACGTGTTGTTACGTTTGGAAAACTCATCACGGTTAATGGTGGATTACCCGAAATCAGTGTGAAAAGGTTACACACTTTTTTTATTAAGAAAGCGGAATCATTTGTTTCAAAGTATTAACTCAGGAAGTGTGATTCATTTGTACTGCATTTCAGCATAGGAGAGTAGTTCATTAAGAAAAATGTCAACTGGAGGTTGATTGAAGCTATTATAGTTTCTAAATTCAATTACACACTACAATTCATTTGTTTCAGCCAGCGACTTCATCAATAAAGCAATTCGTAAAAGTATAAGCAGAATGTTGTTTAGTGATAGACGGGCCTTGCAAATTATAAGTTGAAGTTCTACACACTGTTTAGTGTTGGCCTATTTGAGCACATGTCTTCTTAGGTCATTCAGCACACCAAATAATGAAGTCAAGGTACTTCATATTTTAAGGCGTTCCTTCTTGAGGTTAAAATAAGTGCAGATGACGTCATTAGTATAACATTTAAGTAAAATAAAATCTTAGATATCCATGAATCACACGAATTATCATTACAACCCTGATATTATATTAATGAATCAAAAGGGATCTATTATTAATACTGGTTCTAATTTAGAAACTTAAGTTTTTTAGAAATAAATGTACAACGCTGAAGGTGAACATTTTACTTTGAGAAAACATTTTGACAAATTATTTAATCTGATGAAAAAGTGCATTTTGGTCTTAAGTGGCCACCGTTCTGGTTAGACTGCTCATTGTTTTATACTGAAATTAGAGAAAACGTGATGAATATAGAATACAGGAACATCTAATGAAGTCCATTTTATGAAGCATTATCGCGATCCATTTTTCAAAAACAAAATGATATTCAAAGTTTTGGTGGGTACAGTTCACCCTTTCATTCACACATCAAAACATTCATAGATTTTGTGTTGTAGCTTAGTTCTGTTGTTTTATTTGTCAAAGATGTGGACAGGAAATTCACAAGAGTTCTGGGTGCAGTAAATTTACTCGAGATACTGAGAATCTGGATGCCATTCTAGTTAATACCGCCAAAGAGAACATTTTTTCAGCTGGTCAAAATACTTCAGTTTTTATGTGTATTGTATCTCTTAGGTTAGTGAGTGAAATTCCAGTTTACACCTTTTGACCCAGAAAGTCAGTTTCTATTAGTGGCTGTCGGGTTACTTGGTTTTCATGTAGGTTGTATGCAACCAAAGTGATTTTAACTGTCGGCAGCTTTCGTTGAGTAATTGTGCACATGCCTCTAGGCCTATAGATGATCTATTGGCTTATGCTAGAAAGCCATTTCAAAATAAAATGTTTGAATGGTTGAGTAATATAATAATTTTATTTGCAAAGCTGAAACAGAAGCAGCTCAGACTAAGGTGGGAGGTGGTTTGACATAAGTCAGGGAATAAGTGAGAGACCACCATCAGATGTCACGTGAAACATTCGGCATACTATTTCACAATATAATCAAACTAATCTTTTGTTCTGTAAAGTATGTTGACCCACTAGCAATCCAAAAGAAACAAACGGGCTTTTTTAGAACATTCCAGCATAGAAATCTAGTAGGTCACTGAAGCGAAACATATTTATTTAAACTTCTTTTACAAAATGGATATAGGTTATCAGTCGAAGAAACGATTAGATTTCCGTGAAGACAGACCAGTTTGAGCGTAATTAATCACTTCAGTATAAGGCCATTAATGTATTCATTTTTGTAAAATATGAAAAACAGCGAGGGTATTAGTGTGCTATCATTTTTATGAAAGATGTTAAACTCGATGTTTACTGATACCTGATATTAAGGACTAATCCTTGTGATGTCACCTAGAGACGATGTTATGTTTTTACCTTGGTACTTTGACAAAGTGCGGTAGCGTATCGAAGACCACGCATAATAATACTCAAGGTGTGCCTTAAGACCAGTCGGTAAGTTTACTAGTTTCTGCCTCCTTGTACATATTTCAACCACCGTTCTATAAAAGTGAACGTTGAGGTGGGGGGGGGGATTCAGGTCTGATAAACGGGTGAAGATTTTAAAACAACTGAGGTAACTGAAAGTCTATTCAAATCTCAATAAAATAGTTTTGCTGTAGTTATCTAGAGAAAATGCATGCTCATTATCATCGTTTCTTACGTTAAAAAAAGACTTACAAGTTGTGTGTCACACCTGCGAAAACCAACTTTTGTAGGATGTATGGCTCTGTGGGATATGTGTCATTCTGGTGTTACATCATTTAAATAATTTTGAATTTATAGAGAATTATCCTCTTCATAAAGTAAAAGTCATTTTTGAAGAGTTTGTTTCATTTTCACGTCAGGTGTACTGCTTTTAGGAAATATTAGCCTAGAGCTTTAGTTTCTTATTTTGTAATCTTGGAATGAAATGACAGAATGGCTAGGTAGGTATGAAATCGGTATGCACTGCTGACCTAATCATAGTAGTGTTAAGTTAGCATTTGTGTTACATTACAATGCTATAGAAAGTATTCACTGAAACATAGGGACCGATCGTTGATATTAGATGGTTGGAGGCAATCGGCAGGAAGCTTTAGACCTGCGTTTCGTGCAGGTTGGCACTTGTCAACAAGGATTATCTGCAACCTTGAAGGAACTCATGTCCCTACTCAGATTTGATACCGTGTCACCCAGTGCTGCAGTCAGAGACGTTACGACTGAGCTAGTCGGGCTCACGATTGACTGCCTGTAGGGATGTTGCGGATATTTTGATTTGACACTAATAACTAGTATGAAGATTGCAGATACGCCTTGCTAACGAGTGCCGACAAGCATGAGACCTGAGTATAAGACTTCCTGACTATTGCCTCCAACAATTGGGTGATATAGTGTTGTTTAATAGTCAACAGAATACAAGTGTCATTGGGGTGAGAGGAATGCGATAACCACAAAATACATACAAATACACATTAACAAAGGGGACACTTAATGTCAGGGCTGACCGATGTCTAATGATAAAATAAAGAGACTAAATTGTAAATTGTAATAAAATGTTACGGAATTGGCAGGCTTAGTATAAAATCATAAAGGCTGACAAAATAAGGGTAACGATGAGGTGAAATAAACTGGGTAGAGAAATGGATAATTAAGACATGGTATCACAAAATGATAATAATAGTACGAAAAATTATGACCTTGGTGACCTTATAGTGAGTGGGCCAGGGTAGACAAATAGAGTGAATAAGGTTTTTCTGTACACATAGGTCTGGTATATTTCTCTGTTAGTCTCTAAAACCTCAGCTATGGCTAGGAGGCGTAATCGTATGCCTTTGGGGAGACTGTTCGGTACTCTATACACAACTGTAAATGACTCATCTACTTTGGTGCTGTGTTCACTATCCACTAGATGAGACAGAATTGCAATATTTAATGATTTGGTTGCTCTTTTTCCAAGCCAAACAGGAATATGTTCACGAGTGCGTAAAGATAAATTCCTTTGGGTACGACCCATATAACTAGCTCCACAGGAGCAGTTGAATTTATATACACGCATTGATGTCACCATTTTAGGTAATCTATCTTTAATGCACGGTGTCAATATCGGTTTGGTTGCGAAACTGACATGCAGTTTTGCGGGATTTAAAGTTCTTTCAATTGATCTCGTTAATCTACGGTTTAATATATCGCTGGATATATCGCCTTTGAATTGTACATTTAAGTAAAGCTTTTTCTTACTTACTGTGTCTCGCTTAGTTTGTTTTATGTGTAGTTTCATGGATATACTTCTTTACAAAGTTGGTAGGATAGTCGTTTTGTAACAAGGCGTTTGTAAGATTTCTTATTTCATCTTCAATACAACCGTCGGTACATATGCGTCTAATTCTATGAATAAGACAACGAATTAGGCTGCGCTTATATTGTATAGGTATGAAGCTATGGAAGTGGGTGTATTGTCCGTTCCACGTCGTTTTCCTATAGATGTTTCTCTTTAAGGTACCATCTGTTCTTTTTGTAAGAAGAACATCCAGAAATGGAATACTACCTTCACAAGTGAATTTAATAGCTGGGTGTACCTTATTGAAGACTTGGAGCAGGCGTTGTTTATCCAAATTATTGTTATAAATGATAAAGGTATCGTCAACATATCTCTTTTAAAGGACCATTTTCCAATTTAGATAGAAATATGTCAGCTAATAAGGAACCAGGGGGAGAACCCATGGCAACCCCATCTATTTGGCGGTAATACTCCTTATTAAATACAAACTGAAAGTTCATAGTGCATTTTAGTAGTAATTCTTTCAATTTTCTTCGTGTGATTACGTAGAAGAGGTATACCGATCCTAATCTTCAACTATCTTTATTTTCATAAACTATCCCTGCTATTTAGCAGCAGAAATATTCACTCTTCTTATGATGTCGCACAAGTTATAACATATTATTTCCTTTATAAAATATATTTTAAATTTAATGAATGAAAAAGTGTAACAACTGTAGCATACATAATTCGATTTGAAATAAAGCAAATTTAATGACGTTATGCATGACACAACTGTCACTAAATCTAATAACTCATTTGACAAGTAATCATGAAGAAAAACATTTCGAATGAAATGTCATCTAAAAGTGTGTTTAGTAAAATCACTCCTATTTGAGTTGCATATCTGTTCCTCATTTTCAGTTAAACCCTTCAAATGTATAATCAAAATTTGTCTCATTAATTGTGGCCTGTTTCTTGTTATACTGTATGAAGCTCTCAGTGAATCAAACATTATGACACTTCCACTGCCATGTTATACGATTGGTTCATTAAAAATACAACTGACCAGTATCTTCATTTGCCACTCTATTTGTTGCTCTCAAAATATGACCAATAAAAGTGGGACAATAAACCATTCCAGGTAAATACGAGAAACACATCAACCAATCATATTCATCTTCATCAGAAAAATAGATATTATTAACTGTTAAGAGGAAACAACTACTTAAAGTTTAGTGAGCAAATAAATCATAATGAGAAAATAAATTACTCCATGGGATATAACCCTAAATCTATGCACATTAGATGAAAGGCGTATTTATTAAAAGCACGGTATGAACCCACCCAAATGCACCTGCCGTTGCACCTGTAAATCTGCACAACATTCGAATATGGGAAATGTAAAAAGGAACTCGTCTTGCTCACTTCAGGTTAGTGATCTTTTCAGCTATACACGAGAGTAAAATGAAATTTTTATAATTGTGTATCAAAGTTGTAATTAATGTCTGGAATAGAAGAAAGTCTTTATGGTCAACATTTTACATACTGAAAATGGTGTTAAATGTGTCATATCTACTTATACTTAAGTACACTTACATGTGATGAGACTTCGATGCCGTTGACACTTGAATATTACATTTTCAATAACCAAGGAAAACCTGTTTTATAATATTTCGTTTGCAACTTGAATTTAGCTGTTATCTCAGATATTCAACTTACTAGAAAAACAGCATATTTTACTCCTTCATTTATTAAGAAAGTATAAAAGGACTTTAAGTCTATCATTTTTATGCTTTCAAACCCCTTTTATGCCCTTCAAATGTGTGAAGGGCATTAAGGACATTTCTAATTGTTTCAATTGTTTTCTTTCCAGTAAATGCAATAATATTTATATACATAGTAAACACCAAAGTGTTCGACTGCATTACTATGGTGACCGTTTTGTATTAAAAACTTCTGCCTAGTACTGACATGGAATAGGATTCAGTTGAATATCACCTGTGTACATGTCACATTTTTGTTTCTATAAGGCACAATTAAGGAGTTAATTATTGGACTATATGGACTATATGATGTAAAAATGTGACATAGATAACTTAAGATGTAGAGTTGTAAAGTCATGTATTGGCAGTTTGTGATTCAACTACACTCTGCTTACTATTAGAGACTTTTCTCTCAGAGGCAGAAAACCACAATGAATTCTCTTGAAGTAAAATACATTCAGTTTAATTTCAAGGCTGTTTCAAAGACTATGGAAGCTGACAGAAATCTTTCAGGCAATTCACCGTTAACTACTAACCACCATAAGATAGTTTTTATATGCAGCAAGTCAATAATTAACAGTTAATTTAAAATATTGCTTAAAACTGTCTTTTTTTAATCTGTAGCCTAGCTTAACAAAGATTTCATCCCACAAACTTGTAGCTGTAAACAGTAGCACTGAATAATAAAGTGTCCTTTCCACTATTTGCTTAAAATGTCCCATTATAGTTTAACTTCAGCGAAGTGGCATGACTGTCTAAAAGTGAATTTCCCAATTGCCATCAATCAACATGGTATAATAATTGTTTGTTAGAATTCTATAATTTACTAACACCTTTCTTTCATCCCTTTACCTTATCACATTTCATTAAAAACGTGTCTCATTTACTTCCCTTACTAATAGTTGTCTGTTTAAAATAGCTGGCTGCATGAATTAATTCGCTGTCATCATTTCACTCTTTGCCACGATTGCTTATAAATCTGCAGAGATTGAAATGAAAAAGAAATTAAATTGAAAGAATGATATAGTCAGAGAAATGTGTTAGAGGGATTGGAGATATCACCCAAATGGTATTAGAAGACATCTTACGTGTAGGCTGTTTAGATAACTGCAATTCAGGAATTCAGATAAACAAAAACGACGAAAAATACTTGTTGTTGTTTAAAATTTTGTATTTTCAAGTGAATAAAGAACGTAACGATATTTTTACTGATGTATAGCTGTTTAACGCTAATATCTTTACCAAAGAATAAAATATACTCCATTTAACTGATTCCTGATTTACTACACCATAAGCGTTTTGTAGGTGATTTACAAAGTAATCTTGCAGAATGAATCACTGAAGAATGTCTTTGAAATGTAGAATAATTTAGTAGGCACATGTATTTCATACGTAAAATGAGCCAATATCTGCTATACACCCTGCGGTCACTCTGTTTTCCTTATTTTAATATGGCCAAATGACCGCTTTTGAAAAGCAACGCCTCGAAATGTTTAAACAGTCTGATCTGTGTGCTACTTGCTAATGATATTCAGAGTAATACTTCTGATTAAAATCATTCCTTCATCTAATGACTGAGTTCACCATGAGATATTACAGTGCTGTATATATATATATATATATATATATATATATTAAGTTTGTTTGAGGTGCTCTTTATGACGCGCCAAGTCTCTGACCCGTATAGTAGCACTGACTACACATTGGAGTTGAAAATCCGGATCTTATTTTTCATGCTGAGTGCTCACACACAGACTTAACGTGAGTAATGAAAGCTTGTCTTGCTTTTCCGATCCTTGCTTTCATATCTTTATCAGTTCTGCCTGTAGTTGAAACGATGCTTCCCATGTTGGTAGCAAAGGAGGCTGTTTCTTTCAGTTTCCTCCCATTTATACTGGCTGATTGTTGTCTGTTGTTGTTGTTGCCCAATTTCTGGTTTACATTGGTAAAAAATTTGTTTGGTTATAATAGATTATTTACAATTCATATATATATATATATATATATATTTATACTAGATGTTAGAATTCAGTTAGAATGAAATTGCACCTCAAAATATGCTTTGAAGGTCAATGGTTTAGTTGGAATTTTCTTGTTTATACATTATGAGAGCTCAAGTGCAAAAGAGAACAGTACAAAAAACCGAACATTTTTCGTTTTTTCTCATTCCAAGTGATAAAGTTTATTCAAAATATAATTTAAATAACTAATTCAAAATTGAATATATCCGAATTTGACCAGGGTGTGGTAAATTCAACAGTTAACTCAAGAGTGAATGCCATTGTTAGTTACACGCAAAAGGTACAGTGCAGAAACCGTTTAGAAAAAGAAGATTCAAACTCTCTATCATAATTAACATGTAACGAAAGTTACTCAGTCTACTAATTATGAAATTTTTGTCTAAATATACTACAAGTTTTGAAGAATCCCAAATTTATTAACAAACAACTGTTTATTGAATTGAATTTTTGATTTTTCCGTCGATTGATTGGACCGAAGTGCTCGGTCTCAGGTTGACATGTCGGCTTCTTGTGCAGATGCCTCGACGATGTCTGGACATTTAATTAGTATACAATTGGTGGATGGATGCACATCCTGGATTCCACTGCTAGCCACCATCCACCAATTGTAGAACAACTGTTTAGCTGGGAATTGCTCTTAATTGCTTTGATTGTTAAATGCATTTAGTGACGAGGTTGAATAATTCTGTTGGTTTCAACAAGTAACTGAGTAGTAAAAGTTCAGACACAATCGAGGTGGAAAGTACTTAAAAGGCTGCACTCTAATACGAAGAAGAGCCGGATTTGCAGGGAAGTTACCATTATAGAAATATAGTAGTTTGTCTTTGCAAAATATTAGGTAAAATCAAAAGCTAAACTAATAATTTGATGGAATATGATGGAACCATTTGAGACTATTGTCCATATGGGCTCACTCAGTATCAGACGCTAGATATCAACTCCTCTGCTGCTAAGCCTGTTCAGTTTGATAAGTTTTGTAAGATTGTATTCAAGTGCTATGTAAATAAAACATTTATTTTCGTTACATCAACCTAATTCCTCCCTAAATTTTGCTTTAGTAAGAAGTATTACAAAAACGAAATAAAACATGTAATAACTACTCAAATGTGGATTAGTCAACTTTTATCTTTTTATCTTTTTTATACTGTCCAAGGAGAGACTGGATTGGTGTTTCGCGTCAAAATGGTCCCTTTTCAGCGTATTTATTGTCCACATATTAGCTTTGAAATATTAGTGTATCCGGCTGAAATAGAAAAATGCTGCTTAAGTAATCTGTGAGCATTATAAAGTGGTACAGTTTTACATTCCCTTTCATACTGCATAATAAATTACATAAAAATTGCACCATCACCTGTCTATTACGTCTAGGAAAACCATTGTCTCCAACAATATAATATACTTGGAACTCCATATTAATTTATTTGTTGGATATATCACACGGTCAAACACTTTCATTCAAATATTGCGTTGAAACTATTTTTTTTTAAATCGGCATGATGGGCATGTTTTTAGTTTTTGTGAAATTTGTGACAAGAATTCTATGATTCTTAAATTTACTCATGCACTTAACATACACACCTTGTGTGCTGTTACATTGTTTAAAATTATGAACTACGATGATCGGATGTTCATTACATTATTCATTTTGTCAAAAACATAAAATATTTCAAATCGATGAGTGAATATGATAGGAGGTTGTGGTATTGAATATTTCACGTGATATCACCATTATCATTACATAACCATGGAAGTAGTGGTCGTCATTATTGTCGTACACTTCTCTTTATGTGTATTAGCAAAGTGTATTTAAGAGAATTAAGGATTCGAACGAAGAACAGTAACTGATATTGAAGGTGGTTCTGCAAATATCCCCAATTCAGTCCAGCTGTTGATACACTTCATTGTCAACGTGTAAAGGTCAGTATTAATTGACTAAATTAATCTCTAATTACTTAAATATTGTCTAGGCGAGAATAGCCGTTGATATAAGTATAAAACTTGGGCAATGTGGTAGAGTATAACTCCATTATGGATAAGATTTTATTTTCATTAAGTGCTAGAAGTCATTCATCTTATTTCAGCTAGGTGACACTGCCGAGAGAATGACATGACTAGCAGTATAAGACATGTTATTAAACTTCTTGAAGAAACTATAACAGATGCGTCCAAATCCAAGTTCCTTCGTAATCTTATGTGTTTACTTCTCCTAGCTTCCTGTCTTCTGTCCCCAGTTACGTGCCATTTGCTCTAAGTCTTGCGATAGGTAAAATAGAGTTTTCCATGAATGATCACTTCACATAACTAAACAAGCTGTGTAGAGCACACATTCATAAAATGATAAACACCCTGGAATCAAGCTTTAAAATACCTAATCTCATTAAGCGGAATTTGTTATTTTTCCCATTTGAAGATGCTCAAAAATAACGACAAAAGATGTCTCCTCATAAATCTTTTACAACAGATATTTTGATGAATAATTAATACGACTAACTGTTGAAGTAAATCCATTGGCTGCGTATAATATACCAAGGAAGAAGACAACTCATTTGTAAAGCCTATCCCTATGAAATTGTATGAGTTAATACGAGGTCATAATTATACTTTGTCCAATACAATAGCAGTTTCTCACAAGTAATTTCATTTTTA